TAGTTTTACAATGTCTCTAGCCACTTTGGATTTTCACTAGCCACAATTTTGTTGTTGGGAAAATATTTTTATATGCATAAATATGACTTTGACATGCTAAAATTCCTTGATTAAGATTTTTTGCTATGTCCACATGCCTTCTTATTCATTCCACGTTTTGTGTGTCGTGTATGCACATGGGTCATGGTTTCATGACTTTTCAGAACTCAAAATTAAGGATTTGCCTCATTTATCTCTGATCACAGCGAACAAACATTATTTCTTAGCCACAAATTTTAAATGTGTCAAACAAGCTGAATATAGCGGTATACTATACTATTTATTTAACATAACATTTCTTTTAAAAAACCAAGGAAAAGCAATTGACTTTTAAAAATAATTATTGTCATGTATCAAAAATATGCACAGTAATCTGTCCTCGCTAAAGGTCTCTCAGATCAGTTAACTACACATAAATGGAGAGTTCATCTCATATTAAAGCAATGCTGTTGTAAAACATGATAATTAAACCATATAAACAAAAATAACCATAAGCAAAAGAAAGCAGGTGAAAACATACTGTGTGATAATGGAAGGATGATCACACGGTTAAGTCCAATTAATAATCTTTTCAAAGCGAAAGCAACCGGTGCTGCTTACAAGAAGACATATTTAGAGCTCTTGAAAGCAGCAGCACTGTGTGTGCATCAGCATTACCTTTTGCCTGACTATTGGAGCGCGCACACGCTTTAAACAGGAGCGCGCACCACATCAGCTGTTAGCGCGAGTGATGATGCTCTCATTCGGTTTTCATCTGCTCGTGCGAATGCAATTTTTTTTGTTAGTCGTGCTGTTTCTTCATTCTTAGATCACATTTGCACGCATACTGGGTCATTCTTATAGTCGAACCCTGCTTTTAAGAAAACGAAATCTACCCGCAGGGTTGGCGGGTGTTAATGTAAAGCCTTGTGTATGTATATATATATAATATATATATATATATATATATATAGAGCCGGCCCAAGGCATAAGCGAGCTAAGCGACTGCTTAGGGCCCCATGGCCACCAGGGGGCCCCCAAGAGTGCATGAAATTACTAACTTTCGTTTTTGTTTTAGTTTGTTGGAGAGTTTGGTTATAGATTATGGGTGGGGCAAATATATCAATATGCTCTGGCGCCAAGAATCGATATTTATCTAAATGTACAAAAGATCTGAATTAATTAATCTACTCTGACTGCAGCCATTTACCGCTGTGGCTGCAGTACACCCAGCTGCCACTAGGTGGCTCTTCCCGTAATGGTGGATCAACAATACATCAGAGACGCACCAGCCTTTTTAACCACTGACAGATGAGCGATTGCAATTGTGAAACGTCATACAGGAATATGGGCTCACACTATTTAATTCCGCCAAAATATATAAAGATGTCAATAATAGGACAAGAACACATAATTTGAAGGGTTTTTTATTTATTTAGCCCTTGCAGACCTTTGCAAAGTCTTGTAGATGGTATTTTCGCTGAAAATATTAGATAAATTAAAAAGAAAAACTTAAAAATAATGCTCTTTTTAAATTGATGAGTAAATAACTAATGTTTCCCCACAGCTGGAGGAATTATAAGTGCTCAGAGGAGTCTGTGCTCACCTTTCTGAGCATTCCAATCAGTTACTGTTCTTGAAGAAAATATATTAATCTAGTGGCAATGCAAAATTTTGCATGATTAAAAATAAACCAGGGCTATGCATAAAATACATCAAATAGGTTGGCCAAGTTGTAATAAATGTCTTTAGTTTACAGAAATCTAGAAAGCAATACATTGCTATTTTAACCTTTTTCTAACATGCACAGTTGAAGTCAGAATTTTTAGCCCCCCTGAATTATTCGCCCCCCTGTTTATTTTTTCTCCTAATTTCTGTTTAACGGAGAGAAGCTTTTTTTAACACATTTCTAAACATAATCGTTTTAATAACTCATTTCTAATAACTGATTTATTTTATTTTTGTCATGATGACAGTACATAATATTTGACTAGATATTCTTCAAGACACTTCTATACAGCTTAATTTAGAGATGCACCCTCTATCTCTGCATTTTTCAGCTTGTTGAACAGTTGTGTGCTTTTATACACAGTTGCAATACTATAAACATGTGCT